GTTGTCGAAACAGTGTACAGAGCAGTAGTAGAGCAGAAAGCTTACAGTTAAGTAGAAACAGTTGAAGTACTATAGGGGCAGATATCGGAATCTAATGAGGATAGGAAACAGGAGTTAATGGAATCAGACTTAACAAGTGCGACCGATACAATGGAATACTTAAAAGAACAAATAAGAGTCACAGCGTTCGGTAATCACGAACAAACACTGTAAATGATGAAGGCGGGAACAAGGATAAGGCGGGAAAAGTAAAAGATCAAGGGCTTGAAATATTTTCCGATTGCGTAAGCGGATACGATAGAATGTCAGAAATAATTAAAGAATCCGAGTGGCTGGCCGATGAACTGGCAGCGAAATTTGAAACAGCAACGGATATAATTTATTTAGTGAGTCGAGGAATATCGCATCCACCAGAAGCAGCCATAAAAGTTATCTTGAAGACATAAATATTGGTAAGACATTTCAGATCGGATCTCAGGGTCCCAGGAGATAAAGGCACAACGACAGAGGAAAGAGTAGAAAAAATAACAGAAATAGTGACGGTTGCACTTAATAAGAAAATAATATAATACATTAAAATACCGTTGGTAACGAAAGAAGAATTAGACCTGCTCAGAATATCGCCACTACCCGTAGAGCAAGAAAAGTTCAACATAACGAACACGATGGCATACCTACAACTGACGTACAAATACATAGTAGAGAGCATGAGCAAAAAAAGGTTCGCTCCGAAATCCCGATAAGCAGTCGAGCAATATAAGAAATTAGGCTAGGTAAACATATGCAGTAAGTGGAGAAAGATCACCGCTGCAAGATATGGTTCATTCTAGGTAAAGTGATAGACAACCTGGAGGAGTGTCCAATCGTCTTAGTGAATTTAAAAGGTTTGTACTGGACTCACCTCCATACGAAAAATCAGCACGCGTTCAGTACCAAGAAAAAAAAAAGGTACATGCTCAATGCGAGCACTCCGAACATGGGACGATAAAGGTATCACATGCTGGAGTAATAGACTTGGCAAAAGACTGCACAGTCCAAGCTCTGGAGGGTATCAATGGACATATATGACTTTGGATTATACAAGGTCCGAAGTTTAAAAAGCTGAGATTTCTAGGACTTATGCCTCCGGTGACATATTCTGGCAATTTGGGGTTCAATTTCAATTTTCGTCAGATTTTTTTTAAAATATAATTCAGTGTTCTGTTTCAATTTCTTATTGTAACTTTCGTTTTAATTTATGAATATTATCAACACTTTTTTTTCGGGCACGTTAAAAAAATTTTATTTTTAATACTGTGTCACGTACATAGAATCCTACGCAACAACTGACTATTAAATAATTTATTACGTTAATAGTTATAGCCGGCAAGGCTAATTCATAATTTTAAAGGTAATAATTTGAATGATAGTAACATTGATAACTAACTAAATACTTGGTAGATCATAAAAAATCTTTTGTGCGTATTCGTATGCTTGCATGTGTGTGATCTCAGAATTTTTGACCGATGTCAATGATTCAGGACTCAGCAGGATTACTTTTTCATATTGTTACGATGGCTTGGGAAAAACAATCGTCATAGCTTTTTAAGGTTGTCATACCTCTTGACGATTTCTTGATTTTTTTAA